ACTCTTGCGGCCCTTTGCCTTCAGCTCCATGACACAATAATTGGTATTATTTGCCCTAAAAATATCTCTGCTCTAAAGTCTGAATCCAAAGAGCTACTCAAGAGCCAGATATGGGTCTGCAGGAGATGGTCCTTGGGCACAAATATTCCTACCTGACTTCTATCCCCTTTTGCAATTGCTGCTTCTTCTCTTTCCAAACTAGTAAGAAGCAACTGGAGCTACCAAGAAATCAAGAATAACCAGTTGGAAGATGGCTCGTATTGCAGATTTCATGGGTCCTTCTAACACAAGTTCTATGGGTCCTTCTAACACAAGACCAAGTTTTGCCTTTATCTACCACCTAACATTTTTGTGAGAGGTCAAGAGATGAAGATAGCAACACTCATCAAAATACTGAAAAAGGAGCTTTGAGAGATTGTTCCCGCCAAGGTGACCCATCTGAAAAAGGTCATGTGAAAAGGAGATAGACAGACACACGGACGCACACACAAACACACTGTATTGTAAGTAGAAGTGCACACAATACAAAGTTCACAGAAACCTGACAAATGTACATTGCACTAGCTGTTTGTTGACTTGGAATTATGAAGACACGCCCAAGCTAGGCTAAAGGAAGCAAACACAAGCCTTACACAAACTCTTGTGTGCATGTCAGAGCTGCAAATTTATCAGAGCAATGAATGGGGTTGAGAACTGAAGTCCTATCCATCCAGGGAGACACAGGTTTGGGGAGAGTGTCCTACAGAGTGGACCTCGACTGGAAAAGTCCCACCTGCAGCAGATCTTGCACCAATTCCTGATGAAGTCCCATTGCCCCCTTTACCTCCTTCTGGGGTCTGAGCTTGGCGTTTTTGCAAACACCAAATCAAACACGAGCCCAAGTCAATCTCCTATATATATAATATTAAAGTAAAAAAAAATGTTGCAAGAGGAATTCCAGATGATGCACCCCACCGTGCTTTGTTCACGTTTCCCGAAAACGGTGGAGCCTTTTCTTATCAGCTGCCACCACATTCCTACTGTTGCCGGTAAGCAGACTGGTACGACCTCCCTGGAAAGTAGAGTTTTGAAAAACATAGGAAAGTTTGAACCCTCCATCCTCTTAGGAGGGGGAGGAAGGTTGGAAAAGAGCAGAGAAAGAAGTGGAAGTCTTTGGAATATCAAATTGCAAAACGTAATTCAGCCTAAAAGCCACTTCAACATCCTACGACAGCAAGATCAAGGTTTTCTGCTGGTTTTAAGACACATAAACTTTAAAAAAAAACTTTTGTAGGTTTTTTTTTAATATCCAGGTTCATAAATGCTTTCTCTTAATGATCCAATACTGCTTATCCTGGAGCAGTTTAAAGTCATTAAGTCCCTGTTAAGGGTGCTGAAAAGATGGCTTAAATCCCTGGCACTCAACTGCAATTCCCAGGATTGTTTGCAGCCAAGGGCCGGTGATGAAATAGATCTGAAAATAAGTCAAACTTATAATCTAGAGAATTTCCACGCAATCCACCACAATGATGAAAACAGATACAGCTGGGAGCAGGTCTCTCCCTCCAGATCTAATTTCAACTTTGGAGGGACCGGCAAACTTGGCAGGCAAGATCACCAATGAAATTTTCAGAAGCAGGAATAGACAAGCCCTGCCAAGAAATAAAGAATAATAATTCTGCAGTTCAGTTCTTGGTGTCTTCTCAACTTAAAGGGGAAAGCCAGAGTTTGGGGGAGCATTTTTGTGCTGACGTTTCCATGCCCGGAACTCGTTAAAAAAAAGAAACTCAAGAGAGAAGCAAAGATTTCAGGACAAAAACAGGCTATCCTGGGCTTTTGCAAAAGAGTGACCTGGTTTGTTTAATTTGCACCTGACATTTCTACAAAGTAGTCCTAACAGCATGTCCAACTCTGGAGTATGGTAGCTTATCCTAAAGAGAGATTGGTGCTCTCTGAGCTTGGTTGTTTTCTTGCAGACGTTGCGTGACCCAATTAAGTAACATCATCAATGCTAGAACGGGCTTGTATATAAGCAGAGAGCAAATTCTTCTCTCTTCTAGCACTGATGATGTTACCTAGGCCAGGGGAGAATTCTGGAAGTTGAAGTTCACAACTCTTAACGTTGCCAAGGTTGAGGACCCCCGACCTAGGTGGGTCTTGTAACGTCTGGAAGAAAACAACCAAGCTCAGAAACCACCAAGGACCACGTAGTCCTCCTCCTCCCTGCAAACCACACTCCCTTCTAGCACTGATGGTATTACCTAGTTGGGTCATGAAACATCTGCAAGGAAGCCACCAAACTCAGACACCTCATTTCAACCCTGAGCTGCAAATATTCTTCTGCATTGCTATCCTAAAAATAAAAGATCTCCTGTGTTGACACATATAGACAGCCCATCTGTACTTCAACCTCTTCAGTGTGTGGTCACAAGGATGAGTTAATAAAAGAGAAAGTGGTTATTATTAACTCTCCCATTCAGAGTGGTTTTGCTTGCATTCTCGGTGACCTCTTTGCTTAAGGGTTTTGCTATTGTCTCATGCTCAATGCGCGGCCGGACACAAAATTGGAAGAAAGAGACCCGAATACAAAATAGCAACAGGCATGCATGCAGTTACTCCAAAGGGGTTTGTGGTCATAGGTCAAGGACTAATATGCCATTACTGAATACAAGAGGGAGGGCGGGAAGGAAGGAAGGAATAAGGAGGGAGGGAGGAAAAAAGAATGAGAGGGAGGGCAGGAGGGAGAGCTGGAGAGAGGAAGGAAGGAAGGAAGGAAGGAAGGAAGGAAGGAAGGAAGGAAGGAAGGAAGGAAAAAAGTGATTAGAAATCAGAGTTTGCATTTGCAGTCAGAGGAGGAAGGGACTTGGGCTGCAGGAGGAACAGGATGATGTAATTTATTTAGTAGCCCTTCACACCAGCAATAACTCTAACCTTCATGATTTACAGATGCTTTACAAGTCCTTCAAAGGCTCTACAGTTATGTTTACCAAAGCTGTTAAAACAGACAAACCTTAATTAGGGAGGGAAACCTAGAAAGGGAATTTTTAAAAACAACCTCAGCAGCTTTAAGCCAATCCCCTTCATCCGGAGGCCGACCACTTGGTGAAATAAGACACTACAGGGCAGAAGTGGTACCTGTAGAAAGGAGTTTTATTTCCCCCCCCCCCAAAAAAAGGGGAGGGGGAGGAAGACAAACATCCTAGGACACCTCAGCTTCCTACCCTTTGGAGCATTTCCAGGGTGATCTCTATACCTCCATACTGACGTAGGCATGAGAAAAGAGGAAGCATGAAAGAGAAACGGGGATATTCAGGACAGGGGACTTGAATAAATAAAACAAAAACGATTCATCATCAGGAAATAATTGAAGACGCAAAACCCAAAGAAAGCCCAGAGGGAGCCCAATTCTAGCCTATCCTGCCTTTAAACCTCCGTTGTTATCCTCCCGGCCATTTTTAAGCAGGCAGGCAGGCAGCAAATTCAGGCAGGATCCCTTTGCAACCCCATCAGAGACCCGGCTGGCTTCGGAGGTCAGGCAGAACTGAAGGCCCCCAGCAGCTTCTCCATTTTGGAAAAAAGCCTGGCTGGGGGAAGGATGGGAGAGGGGGTTGAGGGAAAGGAGGGCAGGTATGCAGAGATGATGATGATGGTGATGATGCCCCTTGGCGGATTTTGCCTGCCGGCCTCAGACGTCAGGCGCCCCCACCCCGTCCATCATGACGTCATTTGCACCCCCAGCTCAGTGCACATACGTGTCCCACCGGCCACTTGCTGCAGATTTGCTAGGGACGCAGCCAAAGAGCGCAAGGGATTTGGGAGGGGGGGGCAGAAATGAAGGCCTAGAAGAGGAAGGATCACCAAGCAGGATCTGTTTCTCCTCCCTCCCTCCATGTTTATCTCTCTATTTCCTTCCTTCCTTCCTCTTTCTATCTCTATTTCCTTCTTTCTCTTTTCCTCTCTTCCTTCTCTCCCCTTCCTGTCTATATTTCCTTCCTTCTCTTTCTCCCTTTCCCTTTCTTCTTTCTAGTTCTCTCTCCTTCCCTCCCTTCCTCTTTCTATCTATGTTTCCTTCCTTCCTTCTTTCCTTCCTTCCTATCCATCTAGAGAATTACAACAGAATCTTAGCTTCCCTCCAAGCAGACTAACAATGGCAGGTCTCAGAAACTCTCCCCCCCCCCTCCCCAGACCAGGAAACCCCCGACCTTCCTCTTTAAGACCTGGGAGTCTTGGGAATGCTACAGGAAGAAGGCTCTTTTCGGGAACGGAACCAAGAGGGGGAGATTCACCCCCAGGGACGGGCGATGATCCAATTCAACCTTGGAGCTGGGGGAGGGAGGCAAACGAAGGAAAAACCAGGATGCAACAAACCAACCCTGGCTTTCGGGATGGGTCATCTGCCGCTATTTCTGGAAGGGGGGGAGGATGGGGGGCTTTCAGAATTTAGAAGCCCCTCCAGTTTCACCAATACCCTCCCCCCGCCTTCTTCTTAGGGAAAGACTAGCCAGGAATCGAGGTTGCAGCAGCACTTGCGGGGGGGGGGGCAGAGATGAAAGGGAAAGCCGCAGATGAGGAAATGCTGGGGAGGGTTCCTGCGGGGGAGGGAAGGACGTTGAATCCTCCCTCCTCCCCCCCCCGAAAAGAAGCTTTAGAAAGATCCGCGGGGGGCGGGAGAAAAGTTTGGGGGAGGGAAAGGAAAAGGGGGGGAGGAAGGGAGAAACGGGGCGCCGCACGTAACGCCAGGCAGCTCGAACAACGCCAGACGGCGAAGGCTTCACCCCGAAAGAAGGAAACCCTCCCCCCAGGAAGCCCCCCTCCCTCCCCGCGCGCCTCCCAGCCGCCCACGCAACCGGCCCCATAGTCCTCGGCCACGGGCCAAGCGGGGGGGGGGAGAAGAAGAGAGGGGGGGAGCCGAAAGGCTCCCGGCTGAGCTGACTGGCTGCGGAGGATGAGTCTCCCGCGCGGCTGCGGAGGATGGGTGGCAGGGCCGGCCGAGGGGAGCCGCGACCCGCCGCCGGGCTGACCTGCTGGTACTGGGGGTCCTCGGGCCGGAACTCGTCGGGGGCGGCCTCCCAGCTCAGGCTGAAGTGCGGCAGGCGGTGCAGCAGGCTGACCCACCAGGGCGGCGAGTAGCTCACCCCCGCCGCCGCCATCCCGGCCCGGCCGGGCAGAGGGGCGCCCGGTGCAAGCCCGGCTGGCCGCGCCGCTTCACGCCCGCCCGCCGCCGCTTCCTCCTCCTCCTCCGGCCATGCGCCCGGCCGCGCTCCGGCCGCCCCGCCGCTGCTCCTGCTCCTGCTCCTGGGCGCCGCCCCGCATGGCCCGCGCGCCCCTCCGCCCCGGCCGGCCGGCGCTCTTTGTTCGCCCGGAGCCTCGCCGGCTCCGCCTCGGCCGACGCGCCGCCCCCGCCGCCTGGCGCCGCCCGAGAAGCAGCGGCGGGAGGAGGAGGAGGAGGAGCCCAGCCGATCCAGGCAGGCAGGGAGGGAGGAAGCTCCGGGCCCCGGCGCTTCTCCCCCCCCCCTCCGAGCGGGCTTCCTCGCCTTCCCGCTGGGGCTGTGGGCGGAGTTAGTGGGGGGGGGAGGATGGCTAGGAAAGAACGCCTTTGGGGGGGGGCTGCTCTTCTCGGCCCCCGCGGCGGCTTTCGTCCTCTCTTGGCAGGGCGAGAACGGCCCGCGGGTCAGCGAATGCCCTGCTGAACCTGGGCAGGAGGACGGAGGAGATGCTCTCTTAAGGTCCCTTCTTCTCCTCCCTCTCCCTGTTATGTCTGATGGGTCAATAGGGCCCACTGATGCTTCCCCAGAAGGCAGCTGCTCTGTGCCAGCTGCTGGACCTGGGTAGGAGGATGGATGAGATGGTCTTTTAAAGTCTCCTCCTCCTCCTCCTATTCTTCTTCTTCTTCTTCTTCTTCTTCTTCTTCTTCTTCTTCTTCTTCTTCTTCTTCTTCTTCTTCTTCTTCTTCTTCTTCTTCTTCTTCTTCTTCTTCTTCTTCTTCTTTCCTTTCCTCCTCCTCCTCCTCCTCCTTCTTCCGTCTTCTTCCTCTCCTCCTCCTTCCCCTTACTGGACTTGGACAGGAGGTCCAATGAGATGGTCTCTTAAGGTCCTTTCTCAATGATTTGATGGGCAGTGTCAAAACCAGCTAGCTTTCAACAACTCAGAGCAGGACAATGCTTTCGCTTTTATCGGTGTTTCTGAAACTTGGCAGCTTTAAAACAGGTGGACTTCCAGAATTCCCCAGCCAGCATTGCTAGCCAGCCATGATGGGGGAAAGCATCACTTTCCCCCCAAATTTTGGAACTTGGGGTCCTCTGACAAAACCATCAACGGCCAGCAAAACTGACTGGTTTCAGGCAAATTAAAGTCCCACTCTGAGCCTGTCCTGTCGGCTCACTTGGTGTAACAGCAGAGCCATTGTTACAAACATGACTCCCTAATTTTGTCATTTGCAGTGATTTTTTACAACTTGCCTTCCTTCTGCTCCGATACTAGGGCCCTAATTCTAGTTGGCTGCTTTGCTCCATGCAAAAAGAGGCTTTTCCCCCCCCCCCTTTCATACAAGCTCCTGCCAAGGCCGAACCTCGTTTCTCAAAGCCTAGATGCATTTTGGAAACGGTCCCCTCATTCCCTGGCTCGAATTAAATACCCGTCACGTGCTGATCCCGGATCTGCTGGATATTATCCGCGCAGCATAAAACTGGGCCTGGGCCAGCCCTCATATTGGAATAATTTAGCGCCAATCCTGGCTGGATGAAATTAAACCCCCCTTGCAGAAGGCAAGCCAAATATATCCTCTTTAAGACGAGGAAGAAGTTTGTCCCGATTAGCTTCAAGATTGTGTGGAACACGATAGATAATAAGTAGCCATTGTGTTTTTTTTTTTTAAATGTCCTGAATGTATTGCCGGGCCTCGTGCGAAGATTAGCCTATGGATGGGGAGACAACGGGGGGGGGAACATTTGTGCAAATGGTTTACATTAGGGAGGAATGCGTCCAATGAAAAATAAAACTCGCCGTGTACTTTTCAGGAATCCTCCAAGCAGCTTTAATTTGAAAGCCAATCCTGCAGATTATATACCGTTTGCTCAACTCTTCTTTATTGTCTAAGACCTTTTGCTCCATGATCACTGAAGTATTTAAGAAAGGATGGGTGTAAAATTTAGGATGGTTTCACCTGAGAATAAAGCAGCACTGGGAAGCTGACTTAATGTGGACCACCCTCAAATCTTTTCCATCACCAAATCGTTAAAACGCAATTAAAGCAGCCGTTTAAAAAGCTAACCCACACAGCTCATGGACCAACTGTGGGGCTCTTTTTAAGCTGTTCCGAATATGTGCCGTTTCGTCCCTGCACCCCTTTTGTCACTCACGAAGCTTTTCCAGACTTCCTTTCTCAGCTCAAAGAGTTGCAGCCACTGAGGATGTCTTTTAGATGCTGGTTCATTCGTTCAAAGATGCATTTTTCCTAATGCATTTACTATGCAACAAGTTTGAAGATTAAGGGCAGTTCTTAATCTTAAAAGGCCACTGATGTGCTCGCTTTGGGCAAACATAAATGGCTTGCAAAAGATTTTGATTTCCTTCCTTCTTTCCTCCTTTCTTTCTTTCCTTCCTTCCTCCTATTCCCTCCTTCCCTCCTTCCTTCCCACAAATGGGCAAAAACTAAAAAAGGCAGAGGTGGCGAGCCTCTTATGGATTAGCACATTTTGTAAGCCTGCCTCTATCCTCCTTTCCTGAGCAGCGAAAAGAAGACACCCTTATCAGGGTAGCACTGTCCAACCCCCCTTCCCAATGCCTCATTTCCTCTGCCTTCACAGGGGATCAGCCTTGTGCCTCCAGATGTTTTAAGCTTTGAAGTTCCTACTTCAGCCCAGCATCTCCTCCCCTTCCTTCTGCATCTCAATTACATCATCACAATGGCAGGGATGGAAATACACACAGGCACGCGCACATACACACACACAAGCCACCTAGCTGCTTCAGAACTTGACTTCTGAGCCACAGCTAAACTGCCTTGCTATTAAAAATCTCATCCACAGGAGCTGTAAAAAGAGGATTACAAGTCCCGTCATCACAGATCTGTATAACCACGACGGTCCAATCAGGTTTCTCAAACGTGGCCATTTGAAGACTTTAAACTCCCAGAATTCCACAGTAATCATTCCCTAAGATTGGCAAGCAGTGGTGGACCAGATCACTGAAGAATGCAGAACAGGTCCAAGGCAAACTGCTGACTGTGCCAATAGAAGAAAATAGTTGTAGTTTGGGTTGAACTATGGGGTCCTTGGTGCTCTCTGAGCTTGGCTGTTTTCTTGAAAACATTTCATGACCCAACTACGGTAGGTAACATCATCAATGCCAGAAGGAAGTGGGGTTTGCAGCGAGGAGGAGGAGGAGGAGAATGTGGGTCCTTGGTGCTGAGCTTGTCTGTTTTCTTGCAGACATTTCATGACCCAACTAAGTTACATCAACAGTACTAGAAGAGTCTGCTCTCTGCCTCCAGAATGGTCATGGATTAACCAAGATGCCACCTTTCAGAAGCCTTTGCCCTGGTGCCGATGTCCCACACTTCATCTGGCATTAAAAACTAATTGGTCACAGCCAATTAGGGACCACTTGCCTGGCCTTGGTTGTTTGCAAGTACCCAGCCTAAAACTGGAGTGAAAATGCAGGTAGAATATTTGTCATGCGGCCTAAAACGAGAGGCCAACGTTAAAACTCCTTCTCGATTCCTGCCCTCCAGCGGGAAGCTTGCCTTACGGATAATAAAATTGTGCCCTGCAACCAGAGTGAGCATCCTGGCCGGGGAGGTGAAGTTCTTCTAATCTATGAGATTAATTTGATCCTACTTAGGAAATGCGCCTTACAAGGAAGCAGATGGCGAGCAATCCCTTAACAATTATGGCTCACTTGCCTGGGCCGCTGTCTGTAATTTTTGAGGCGCTTCCTATGCTGCTTTGCCTAAACACCCTTCTCCACCCACGCCTTCTGTTCCTTTGTTTGAGAAAGCAACGTGGGAAACGCGAAAGGGGGAGGGGGGTTAAGAAGACGCACCGTGGCTGTTGACGAAGCAGCCAACCTGTTTAATTTGGGAGAATTTGCCAAATGAAAACTTACTTCTTGGAAAAGGCTTCTAGGGAAGGAGGAGGAGGAGGAAATGCTTTGTTTTAAATGTGCACCTTGTTCGCTTTGACCTTGGCTGGACAAAGGCACCCGGACACTTGTAGTGCTAGAGGGGACCAACAGATGCCTTGAAGATTCCCTAAGCAGAGTCTCAAGGTACAAACTCTTCATTCTTGTCTTCACAGCTTTTCTGGATGGTGGTGGTGGTGATTTGCAATCCTGGGACCCTTAAATCTCTACACATCTGCAGGACACCAGAAGGAAGAAAGCGACTCCATTTTTCCATACGGGACGGTTCATAGGCGACCGTTTTATAACTTCAAATCTTTGGGCGTTAGAAGTCATTCTCTAAAAGCTGGATGGAACCCTTTAGAGCTTGAAAGATGATATCTGTTTTTAAGTAGAACATCCGCTATATTGTTTATATCATTATAAACTGAGAAAGGAAGGAAGGAAGGAAGGAAGGAAGGAAGGAAGGAAGGAAGGAAGGAAGGAAGGAAGGAAGGAAGGAAGGAAGGAAGGAAATTACTAGATTAAAAAACAAATCCATTTTTCCCACTGGTGACAAAGGTCACTCCCTGACCTTAACTGAGTTTAGGGATTTGACAACAGGAAGTCAGCAAGAAGCCATCATACCAGATGTGTTCAGCTCTGCTTTTGGCACACTCCTCCATTTTGCTGAAAATGCAAAGAAGTTTTGAACCTTGAGCTGTGCAAAATAGTCTGATGCAAAATAGTCTTTACCTTGCTCTACCAATAACCTCTATTTTTTTTCTCATCGTTCCCTGTTGTGTAAAGCAATGTTGTGACTGCAGGTCTGATGCCAGCTAGATTCCATGGCACCCATTTCTTTCCTGAAGACCAGGCCCACCTTTATCACGTTCTCCAACATCTCTTCTTTTCCACACCAACCTCTTTTGATATGATCGTTCTCAAACTCACGTCTACGGCATTGTAGTCCACTGAACTTCTGAGTTCGGCCATAGCTTATATCTGGAATCCAGAATGTAAATTCCACATTCTTGTCCTCAAAACATCAAAGGGCAACTCACTCCTGACTATGAATGGCTTACAACTTTGGATACTTAGAAGGAAATCCAACATTGCTCTTTCTTGAAACACAACTAGCTAATCTGGTTTTTCTCATCTGTGTGTCGAAGAATTCAACAGGGTTGTCTTCACGGACCTTGCTCAGCCAGGACAATAAAAGACCTTGCATTTTTCAAAAGCACTTGCCGAGAACCGAGTGTGCTTTTTGTGGTTTCTCCTGCTGTGTGCCCCAGTCCATTATTTCGAAAATGGGCTAATGTCATTAAAGAAGCTGTCTGGAAGCATCCCTAAGCCACAAAAGCACATTTCACAGCCAGACCTCCCAACAGATGTTGTTCTCTGCCAAATAACGTGATGTAACACATTACTGTCACTCTGGACAGCAGAAGCCAAACTAGAACCAAACCAGTTTCTTGGATGATGGGTTTACGTAGACGTCCCTCTCAAGACCCCCCCCCCAGATTAACAAACGCTCAATCCTGCTGGAAACGCAGCTCTTTCTTCCTTGCCTCCTGTTCGTTAAGTGCTTTGTTACCAAGCCTTACTGCTCGCTGCTGTTGTGAGAAAGAGGACCTGGTGCCATCAAATTACTCATCCTGGTAGCTTCCCCCGAGGACTAAAGTCTGGGAAATATTTTGCTCCTGTCTTGGCCTGAGTGATCTAATGAAGTCCCCGGCTCTGCTAAAAGAGGCTTCTTGGAGGTTAATTACAGCTCGCTCACCCTTCCTCCAAATTAATAAGACACCAGCTGGGTCAATGTCGTTAGCAAATGAACCATGGACAGCCTCATCCGGAAAACTGACTGGTTTAGAAAGCCCTCCACAGTTCCCTTTGGTTGTGACGATAACCATGCGAGTGGAAGAGCAGCTGGAATTCATCTGCTGGACTCAGCAAAGGGTGAAACCCCTCTTCCTCCTCCTCCGTTGCCTTTGCTCTGGATGGTTTCCAGCACCTGCCTCTCTGAGATCCCTAGCTGGGAAGTTTCCGCGGTTGGATTCAGCAGGAACTCATCTGGTGGGGCTCTCCTTCTTGGCTGCGAAGTGTAGCATGAAGGACAGTCAGCCAAAGATAAAGAGCAGGCCCAGTTCTGGATTCGACAAGCATGTGGGGTCAGGAGAGAGACCAACGTCTTTAGGCTGAATGAGGAAAGAGAGAGAGCGAGAGCGAGAGATATTGCCTGGAAGGCAACCAAGCAGCTTTCTCTGAAGGAGAGACGTCCATGCTCAGGGAAAGCGCCAATGATCACGTCCGTTGACTGCAGATCACCATTAAGACAATCACCATTATCAAGAGCCGAAGGGCTGCCTTCTTTGAGTCCTCTTTTCTCTTCATCAATTCATCTTCTCTCTTTTGTAAAGACTAGAAACGCTCACAAATGAGGGCAGATCTACGTGTCCCAGGCTAATGTTGCAGGAGCCAATCTGGGTCGGTCACCGGGACCATAGGTTTGCCTTCTGAGCTTTTGGACTCACGCTGGAGCCAATCCTCAGGGAACGTCTCTCTGTGCTTTGGGCTGGTCTGTGTGTGGTATTTATATGGTGCCTGTGGTGTGTGGCTTTTTAGTTGCTGATTGGAGTGCGTTGATGGCTGGCTATCAAGTCCTTGGCTGTTGTGCTGCCAAGCCTCGCCTCCTAAGGACCTGGTAAGCTGGTGTTGAATCAGCAGTCTTGTTGACTTGAAAAGGGGCCCGTTGCCCAGACTTCAATTGCTTCCCTGGCTGTTTTTGTGTCTGCTCGTCCAACAATCTTAGTAGCTGCACAACTGAATGTATGTCCTTGTTTATTGCAATGTGAGACACACTGGAAACACCAGAAACGCCGCACAGCCCAACAAGCAAGCATCAATCAAACTCCTTCTCTTTCGACCACCTCCCATGGACCTCTTCCATCCACAAGAAGCCCTCTGCTGAAGAGCCGAGGTGGCGCAGCAGTTAGAGTGCAGTACTGCAGGCCACTTTAGCTGACTGTGTTCAGCAGGTCAGCGGTTCAAATGTCACCGGCTCAAGGTTGACTCAGCCTTCCATCCTTCCGGGGTAGGTAAAATGAGGACCCAGATTGTTGGTGGCAATGTAAATATATATATACATTGCTTACTGGTGTACACTGCTTAGAGAGTGCTTGCACTTAAAGCGGTATATAAGTCTCATAAATAAATAAATAAGACTCCTTCTTCAAAACGGAAGTGGAGAGGCTGCCAATTCAAATAGAATAAATATTGATCCGGATTTTTGCTGGGGTTGTTCCCCGCCTTTAATGGGTCAGAGTCCTGCAGCAAAGCAACCTTCGGAGATTCATTGAGCCGATTAGAGTATCATAAAAAGAACCACATTCATTGGGGGGGGGGGAGGAAAGATGAGAGGTATGTAAATGCATCGAATGTTGAAAACAGAATGTTTAACTCCAGTCTGCAGCAAGAGGGAGACAGAGATTAGAGAAAAAGTGCTTTTGTTTCTTTCTGATTAAAAAAAAAAATTACGTGGAAAAAGCTAATGGCCAGACATGACTTAACTTCTTCGTTTATTATTGCTTACAGGAAATCATCTTGCTGGATATAGCCTACCAAGCTTGGCCTCTGGCTTTGTTTCCAAAGGCATGTGAATCTTAACAAGCTTGTGATGTGCCTTTTCGGCCAGCAGAAGCGACACACACACACACACAACGGGCTCTTTCAGCCTGCCGGTTTCTCTGACGCCACAGGAATGGGAGCAGAAGAGGAAGACCTGAATATTTGGGGGGGGGGGGAGAAACGTGGAAAAATGGAAGCTGGATGTTTAAAGAACCGCAGGGAGGAGGAAGCAGCTGCAAACGGCAGTCGAATTCAACACGGGCTAAAAAAAGAGAGACGATATCTCAAAGTCTGGTTTGGGTGATTGGCTTCTGATAATGTCACAGGTGTTCCTTGACTTACAATTCTTTGTTTAGTGACCGTTCGAAGTTACCACGGCAGTGAAAAAAGGGACTTATGACTTTTTTTTTCACATTTACGACTGTCACAGCATCCCCTGGCCGTGTGGTCAAAATTCGGACACTTAGCAATGGATTCACATTTATGATGGTTGCGGGGTCCCAGGTCGTGTGATCCCCTATTGCGACCTTCTCACAAGCAAAGCCAATGGGGAAGCGAGATTCACTTAAGAACGGTGGGAAGAAAGGTCGTAAAATGGGGAAAAATTACTTAACAACTGTCTTGCTTGGGGCTCAGAGGTCATACGTCGAAGTCTACCTGCACACTGCTGGGGAATACATTCGCAAGGGATGGATGCCTCTGTAACCCTCATGAAAACCACCAAGAGGACACAGCTACATTATGGGTCCCCTTACTCCTTTTGGGGGTGGGTGGGAGGGGGCAAACCAAGATGCCTTTGGTTCTCGAACCGGGAGCAGCACCGGAGGACGTCACCCAGAACTGCTGGAGCCAGAAGACGAAGTGTCCTTCATGGGAAGGAAGACCTGGTGGTGGTGGTGGTGGTGATGATCTCATCCGAGTCGTCTGACTCAGCCCCGTGGTCCTCACGCTTTGAGGGGGAAGCTTGCCGTTGATCGTGGGAGGTGGTAGCTAGAAGGGAACAAAGGAGAAGCAGAGCTGATCAAAAGGAGCAGAGACACACAAGGCTTTTGGGGGAAGGACGTCCGTTTTTAGACCAGGAGTTTGAAGACTTGTGGTTTCCATGCCTGCTTTTCTTTCTACGTTACCAACAACAACCCCAGCACTAAACCATCATCACTGGCTTCTCTATACCGGTTTCCTGTTCTCAGATGGGAAACATTACATGTGACCAATGAGGAAAGCAGCTGACTAGCCTACTGCCTTAATTCACAGGCCAATTTCCTGTCTCTCTACTGGAGTTGACCTCTGCAGAGATGGGTCCCAACTTGGTTCCGAGGGGGAATCTATTTCCCAGCCTGCAAACCAGATTGGAAGATGCCACCCAGTGGGGTTCAAATGTGAAGGGGAAGATCTACTGCCGGGATCTACTGTTTTCCCTAACTTGCCCTTCACCCATCTACTAATTTGCCCTTCCTCCTTTCCTTTCCTAAAGCTTTTATTTGGCAACTTTAAGCTGCGTGGACTTCAACTCCCAGAATTCTCCAGCCAGCTATGGATTCTGGGAGTTGAAGTCCGCCCAGCTTAACGTTGCCAACATTGAGAAATACCGCTTAAAATAGGGAGCTTCAAAGGGAAGATCTGGTTCTGCACTGCCCCCCCCCCAAACCAAGCAATCAAGCAAGAGGGGCTGACCCCGCCCCCTTCTGTGCCCAGGTTTCAAATGAGATCAATTTGTACCCAAGATCAAAGGGATGAAGCCTGCCATTATGAAATGGAGCGAAATGTGTAAAAATGTAGGAATGTAAAGTGAGTGAAATTACCAGAATCGGAAGTGAAGACCAGAGGTGAATATTTGAATATCGACCAGCCCATTTTCTCTTCTCCGGCTTTCTCCCTCCCAGGGCTGGAGGGGAGAGGCCTGCTGCAAAAGATAAGTGGTAGGGGGGGGGGCAAGAGCCATAAAAGCTCAGATTCCAAAGTGGTGAGTCAGCTCCAAAGGAGCAAGATTTCTTGCCAGCCTGCGGGCTCCAGGTCAAGCAAGCTCCTTCTGCCATCTATCCTTCAGATTAGTTTCTGTGGGCAAAACACACAACGGAATAGAAGGGAAAGGGAGGGGGCAATGCATTACTGATGGGGGGTGGAGAAGGAGGAGAGCCAATCCACTTCCTGCTCTATGCATCACAACTGAAATCCTTGAATCTGGGCTCAGGGAGAACGCTCACACTGGGAAAAAGGCGAGTCTTAGGAATCTCCACCAAGGAGGCGGGGCCTTCAGGCCCAGCTTGGGAGGCCAATGTAGGCAGCACCTACAGAGGCGGGGAACTTGAGCCCTTTTATGACTTGTGGACTTCAACTCCCAGAATTCCTGAGCCAGAATTCTGGTGGCTCAAGAATTCTCGGAGTTGAAGTCCACAAGTCATAAAGGGGCCCAAGTTCCCCGCCTCTGATCTAAATCCAGGCATTTGCTCTGGGCCTCCGTTCTGCAGAGCTGAGTCTGCTGCTGCTGCTGCTGTGTGTACGTGTGTATGTGCAGCTGCAACAGCCGGTGAGCAACGCAGCCTGGGGGTTGGGTGGGGGAATGCCTTTTGGCTGAAATGTTTTGGATTCCACATCCCAGTATCTAGGGGGCACAGACCAACTGCGTCTAGACAGGGGTGTCCAACCTTAGCAAACTTTAAGACTTCTGGACTTCAACTCGCAGAATTCCCCAGCCAGCAGGGGAGGTAAAGTCCACAGGTCTTAAAGTTGCCAAGGTTGGACACCCCTGATCTAGAGGATGATAAGATTTCTGATTGTTTGAGTGGGCCCTGGGGGGGGGGTATTCTCCTTTCTTCCTTTGACTCACTAAACTAAGCCTCCAGGACAAGCTGGGTCTGGATTGCTGGACCACTCAGCTTATGAAGGCCACATTAAAGCCATCTGTTTCCTACTTACCGTTCCTCAAGCGATGCTTGTGTGACGTGAGCCCCGGATGCGGGCTGAATGAGTCTCAGGGCTGCTGCCTTCTCTTCCTCTTCTTCCTCCTCTCCCCTTCCTGCTTTGCGACCACCTCCAATTCTAGACAAAGGGCACAGCCCGGAAGAGGAATCTGAAGCCTAGGAGGGGAACAAGCAGGAATCTGGATTTGAACGTAATGAAGGAAGCTAGGACGCTTCTGTGCTCAGTCGTAAACTTTCCTTAGAGACACAATTGATGCAGCAGGATTGGTGTTTTGAAAAAGTCATTGTGTAACCCAAAAATGCAGCTGTTCAGTAACTGGATCTACAGATAGTCTTCAGTTAATGACAGTAAATGGGACCAGAGTTCCATCAGAAAGTGATGCGGTTGTAAAGCACACCACATGACTGTGGCACTTAGCCAAAGCCGTTCTGACAGTTCCATTTATTGTCGTTAAGTGATGACTGCACAGGTCAGGAATTCTGGGAGCTGAAGTCCACATAGATTAAAGTTGCTAAGGTTGAGAAACACTGGATTTGTAGGAGTAACAGAACCTGGGGATGGAGTTAAAAGAGGGATCGGCCTAGAATCCTTACGTAGCCATAAACAACTAAGTCCAACCTTCCTTGAATTCCATTGACCGTTCTCTAATGCCTAGCAGATCCCAACTGTGAGCTGAGAAGATTCTTGTGCCCAGGCAGGAATTACAATAAATCAGTTAAATTGGACCCTCACGTGTGGACCTGCTCTTTCATGACTGACAGAACTAGAGTGACACTGGATTAAGAAAGAAAGAAGAGGGGAGAGAAACAGATAGGAAGACTAAGTTCAGAGACTGTGGAGTTTTGCTGCAGCATTTAAGAGGCCTCTTGCCATTCACAAAAGGAGAAGAGGTTGAGCAGGACCAGAAATCTCAACGGCCAAGATCCTGACAATAACATCTTTGGCCATCATGGATCTCCCATAACGCCACGTTTCTCGCTGACCCTGCCTTAATTGCCAGGAGGCCATACCTCATTCGCCACCAGGAGAATATCGAAGTTTCTCGTCTCTTTGACACTGCAGAAATGTAAAACTCAATCCTTGGCTGCAGGAAGGTCTTCGGAAGGAAACTGTCCAAGAAACTATTAAGATTCACAGCCAGACAGAGCCCAAACCTTCTGGGGATTTCGACAGAAGCCAAATCTGTCAATATTAGACAACACAGCTCACCACGCAAATTAAACGGTTGGAAGAGGATCTTGTTTTTTTTACCTGATCGGGAGGTTGTGTGACATCAATTCTAGCCTGTCTGCAGTTAGTTTTCTGGTTTCCTTCCAGTTCTCTCAACTTCTCTTTCAGCTGCTGGATTTCCACCCTGCAGAAGGACCAGACAGATCGTTTGTACAGCATCGTATTCACTTTTGACTGGTGGAAAGAGGGGTGGGGAGAGAAAAGCTGGACAGTTCCCCCCCCCCAAATCTGCAATAAAGGGGAGTTGGGCTATGTTGGCTCATTCCCAGGAACTTAACTCTTTAACCGCCAGCTGATTCTGAAGGACGAGAATATGGTCTCTCAGCCTCACTGCCGTCTTGCAGAGAGGCTCACACTCTTCTGGGAGATCAGATTCCTTAGCAACTGAGTGATCCACTTCTTCAGAAGCGGTGGGAGGGAGCAACAGCCCCCTGCTGGTCTCTGAAGGCTGCAACCCCTCCTCCATTTCCTGGAAGAAGGGGGGGGGGGAAGAAACACTAATCACCTGGAGTATTTTTTTTTTCTTGCAAGTTACCTCCTTCTGCACTTATTTATTGAGCTAGAAGCACAAGAAAAATAAAACATGCTTTAATGGGAAGCAGTTCAGCTGGACAAAAAAAGGATCTAAGCTGCCTTCCACAATATGGGGGTCTTTCAGAGCTTTCACCTGGCTTTCTGGATGCTGGGGGATGTAGTCCAGATCAGCGAAGGAGGCAGATTACAAAAGGAAAACTAGCAGAGCCTTTGCTAGCTTCTCCTCTTAAGTTTGACCCCTTTCTGGAATTAGGAACAAGCTGGTGGTGGAACCAGCATGAAATTTCTCCTTTGGGGTGCCCCAAAGGCCAATCCTGATGAGCAGCTTCTAACCTGTCGGGTAATTCACAGGCAAGCTACGACCCAGGCCATCTGGCAAAAGATGCAACGTAAGCTAACGCTGGACCCTGAAACCATCATCACTCACTGACTGATATCATGCTGTTTTTAAGAAAGTTAAGTCCTGGACCTCTTGATTCTCCATCGAGGCTTGTGCAAGTGGCCCACTGAACATGGTTAGCAGCCAACTGCTCAGGAATAACTCTCACTTACTTTTCCCTCGTCAGAAATCCATTGGAGCAGTTTCTGCCTCTGGCGAGCAACATAATCTGAGGAAAAGGAATACAGTTGTCAAAACGGGGGAGACACAAAAGACTGAGCCCCAAGGACCACCAGAGGGGGGCTGACTGCCAAAGCTAGAAGTGCATATTCCCTTGCTAGAGGTTGACCATCTCTCCAGTTGCTTCTGATGGCCACGAGGATGAGAGCAAGGCCAGAGAACGAGGGAGGGACAGGAAGAAGGTATCAGCTAGTGGGAGAGGGGGGAGTCCTGCCTTGCTTCCTCCTGAGCAAGACAATTTTCACCCGTGCTTTTGGAGAGAGCAAGCAAGAGGCAGCCACATACAGGACTCTCTTCACACGGCAGATCCCTGATGCTTTTGGGCTGCTGAAGGGATTCCCAGCTCTTAGTTCCCCTAAACATTTAACTTGGTCTTTTTGAGTGTTCATCCATGCGATGTTAGATGTCCCGGGGAAGTCTGTTAAACCACGTTTGGTTCCCTCAGAGTAGGGTTCCCCAACCCTGATCACTTGAAGGTGGGTGGACTTCAATAACCCAGAATTCCCCAGCCAGCAGAGCTGAAGTCCGCCCACCTTAAAGGGTTGAGAAACACCGTTTTGGAGAATTGCTAGAGCAATCAGGATGCTTACTTTTGGCCTGGCTGGGAGATAGGAAGCAGCTCAGAGCGTGGTCCATATCTGCTTTCAGCCTTTCATTCTGGTCCTGCAGCTCCTTCATCCTTTCGGAGAGCTGGAAGACGGCCGTGCTGAGCACTTCCTGACGCCGGCTCTCAGAAGCTCTGGACTCCAAAAAGAGAAAATCAGCTGCCATGGCAATATAAAATGTGCCAGTGTCTTGCTCCCTCCTTTACCCCAGGTGTGACTGCCTGCCTGGTGAAAAGAGTGACATTTCTAAGCTTTCTGATGATCGAGTAAAGACAAACCTGCCTTAATTTTGGTCTCCCTCCTCTGAAATCAAGAGGGCAACTTTCGTTTGAAATCATGACGCTTCCCCTGGTTTATTATACTTTACATTTTCCTCCTTAAATTTTGTTCCTGGATGGCTCATTGGGGACACTATGTAACAGTAGAAATCTTAATAATTTGTGGGATGTTACCAAAATATGAGGAAGGGAAGGGAAGGGAAAGGAAAGGAAAAGAAAAGAAAGAAAAGGGAAGGAAATAAATGCATTGATACTTAAGAAGTTCAACCCCCCACTCTGCCGTTTACTGTTTTGTGAACTAATATTTAGAATCAGAATTCTAAAGAATATTTAGAATTGCCTGGGGCCACATGTGAGGTTAATGGGCCTTATTTCTGTTTTAGGCAAAGTGTGAACGAAGCCAAATGTAGTTCAATGCAAAACAGGGTCAGGAGTTGGACCTGCAAAGCTGCAAGTTGGCCCTTCCCCCCTTTCTATTTATTTCACTATCTTGTGGGGGGGCAAGGAGGGAAGTGACATTCGGGGAACAAGATGAAGTTAAGTCTTACTCTACATTTCTACGAAACTACCTTGAGCGCCACAATCCGCCAATCGTCCTTGGATTGCATATCTTTCCTATCTTCTTCTTTCTGTTTCTTCCTCCTCTGAATCTTTCATCCGATCTTATAGAAACCGGGCAACTTTTAGTATGCAATTTTTTTTTTTTTTTTTTTAGCAACCAGAAGCCCACGAGAAAACATCTCCATTGGGACTTCTTCCCACATCTATTAAGCAACCTCAGCTGGGATTTAGGAAGAAAAAGAAGTTTTATTTTTAATTGTGAAAAACTAGCTCAACGTTAACCCTTCCCACGGCTGGCGTTGGAACCGTGGGTGCTGGCAATCATCCCTGAGGCCTTTTGCATAAAGAAGATTTAAATACTTAAGTGTAACTAATTTTGAGACAATCTTACTGAATTTTTTGAATACTGTGGGGAAAACAAATTTAAATAAGAATATAAACAGGATTTACAATGAGGCAATCAAGATGATTAATGAAAAGGAGCTTTATACTGATGTGGTCATTATTTGCAGAAACACGAGAAAAATGTTTAGATTTAATTGTCATTTGTTTACATGAAAACTGTTTTTTTTTAAGGTTGGCTAAAGAGAATATTATCAGAAGAAAAGGAAATCAAGTAAAGTTATTATATGGATTATAGAATTATAGAAATTAATTGTTATTGTTTCTTAAACACTAACCCAGACAACACGATGTTTACCAAATATTAAGGTGTATGTTAAAAATCAAGGAAACGTTTTTTTTTTAAAAAAGAAATTCTAGCCAAAATTGTGATCATAACTGTTACTATGAAATGTAGTTTTGTGCTTTCCCTGATCATAATGCAGCAGAAAGGAAGTGACTGTGTTTATGAAGGACCCTAAATTCAATAGGCTTTTATAGGATGAGAAGGCGTTCCCTTCAGCAAGACTTTAAAGGCGAATCCTATTGTTTGCAGCTTTGTAAAAAGGTGGGTGTAAAATCACCACCTTTTTGATGGCAAATTCATTTTTTTCCATCCCCCCCCCCTTCAGGTTTGAATGAGACATTACGAATTTCAGGAAGCTGTTACTTCATCCTGAGCAGGACACAGAATTGTCCAGTAGTTGCTCAGAGCTGACAGTGCCTTGACAGCACATAATCAAATCAATCAGCTAGGCAGCTTTTCTTCTAAGCAGAATACATTCTTTTAAAATATATATGCCTTTTACCATTTCTTAGGTAAAAGGAAAGCTTCTGATGGGAATTACAAGAATGGAACAGAGTCTGCTAACCAAGCTAAACAAAGAGAATGACACGTAGCCGGTGACCTTTTTTTTTAAAAAAAGTTTAAATTTCACTTCCTGCACAGCGATTAGTGAAGAATAGAAACTAGCCAGCAAAAAGTTAAGCACATGCAGAAAGCCCCAAAGTAATAAACGTACTTTCGTTGCACAACTTTTGAGTGTGTCAGCAGGTTCTGGAGGCGCCGGATCTGCAAAGGGGGAGAGAATATTATCCAACCTAGTCAGGACCACCAAAGGAAGCTATTTCATAAAGACGCAAAACAGCACCGGGAGAAGTCTGGTAGCTCTTGTTTCCAACTAATTAATTTAATTGAAAGGCAAATCCTTCTAGGTTTGGGCTACAATAGATGGTCATGAGGAAACACGATTCTCCTCTTACGAAAATGCATCAGAGGAACCCACAGAGACAAGACCCCAGAGAACATTGGGATGACCAAAGTGATGGTATCACATGATCCCAAAGACATAACAAGGGCTCTTAGCAGTTGTAAAAAGAGGTTTTAGGGATCAACGGGTTTGTGTCTTTCTGGGAACAAGCTCCACTTTGCAGAATCCACGGGGCCAAATTAGGATCCGGAGGATACATTCGTTGCTCACACTGGCGCCTCCGAGTACCACTGCAGTATCAGTTAGGTTAATAACAGAATAACGGAAGGGACCTTGGAGGTCTTCTAGTCCAACCCTCTGCTCAAGGTGGGAGACCTTATACCATTCTGGACAAATTCTTCTACGATCAACCACATGTGGGATAAAGCGATCTCTGCCTAGCTAGGTGGTAGGAAAGAAGTCAGGGTTACTGATACCCCCCATTTTCTAGGGGAGCTCATGAGCCTAGACCAGTGGTTCTCAACCTTTTTAATGCCGTGACCCCCCCCAACCGGTTGTAAGTCGAGGACTACTCAACTGGTGCAGCACCGTTTGCAGAATGGGATTTTTGGCGGGCTCAACAGGGCAGAGACAGCCTGGACAATTCCTATTGGCTTTGGAAAGCCAATAGCATTAGACTCTATTCAAGAGAGTCTCTTCTATTGGCTTTCAAAAGCCAACAGAATAAAAGGGAGGAGCCCAGCTAAGGAAAAGGGGAAAAAAATGGCGGACTGCGTTGTTTGGCGACCCCCGTGAAATGGTCATTCAACCCCAAATGGGGTCCCGACCCACAGGTTGAGAACCGCTGTCCTAGACAGAGCCTTACAGCCCACAGATCGGCAACAAGCAACATTTCACCGGATGTTTTTAATGATGTTTCCCCCTTTCAAACCACTTTTCATACCTCTTGGTAGGAAGTACGCAGAGCGATGGTCATTTCTTCCAGGTCGGTATTCTTCACATCTGCCTGGAGTTGACTTTGGGCGAAACAGACACAAAAGGAGGATTGGCACAGTCCAAAGAGACAGAGGTTAAACCTACATATTTCTTAACTATACGGATGAACCGCTATCAATGTTAAGTGATGACTATATTCCACTTTCGGATCCTGACAGGTGGGAGATGGTATAAACAAACAGAGCACATTTATTATTTCCTTATTCTGCCCTCCCAGCCTGCGATACGCTTTCACGAGCACAGGAGAAACCTGTGGCCAGCAGTCCCACAGGCAAATGACCAATTTGTTGTTGGAAAACTTAGGTCTTCTGCAAGAAGGAAGAGGCAGGGGAAAATATTTGACAGTTTCTCCGTACTTAATGGTGTTGTCTTTCTCCTTGCACTGCTGTTCTAGCCTGAGAATCTTCTGCTTCAAACCGTTTATCATCTATTCCAAGAGAAAAATAAAAAGGGTTGCCTCTTTATTGTACGTTTCTGGAAAGCTATAAATGGCGAACAGAAGGGGGAGGGGAAAAAAAGTGCATTTACCAAGCTGCTCTCGCTTTTCTGTTCTGTCCGTAACCAGCTAAATTCAGTATACTGCAAAAAATACAAAACAAACAAAACAAAACAAAACAAAAACCCCACACAGCATTGAGCATTCCTGATTAGGGAACTGGAGAATGTGTTTGGGGGTTTGCTGAATCAAGGCTAGCCCTGCCAGATTCACCCCCTCCTCAGTCAGAAGACGAAAGAGCTGCAGGAGCCATCAGAAAGAGACCCTCCGCTTTACCCGGAAGGGGTCCAAAAGCTGCTCAATGTGTTTGTCCTTCCGGTTATTGTCTTCTTCCACCCGCCGGAGTTTGGTTTTCATCCGATCCGCTTCGCACTTCTGAGCTTGGATAGTCTACCACAGAAGGGGGGGGGGAAACAACTTTTCAGAATTATCGAGCAAGGAGACGGTAAACAGAAAAAAAAAAGAGGATAGGAGAAAATTTATCTTGCCTGGTGGCATCAGAGAATCCCATCTCCTTTTCCTTCCCAGGAATCTTGTCTAGGACAAATTTAAATCCTCAGCAGATCCCATCCCGCCCGGTTACTTTTAAACATTTCCCAGAAAGCAGGAAGACAAAGCTCCAACGAGTGAAAGGCTACAAACTAAAATTCTGTTTTGTTCATTCCACTGATAAGAAAGAGATATAAACGCTTGTTCTAACCTTCTTTAGTTCAATGATCTCGTCGTACATATCCTCCTTCTCCTTGTAGTCTGGAGTTCCAGGGATGTAGCCTGGAAAAGAAACAGCAGGGATACAATATTTTAAGACCGTATCATTCTATCTGTTTCAAAGTCTTTCACGCAAAGACTTGTACGTCGCTTCTTCTAAAGCGGCTGGAATCCATTACAGCAGGGGTCCTCAACCTTGGCAACTTGAAGATTTGTGGACTTCAACTCCCAGAATTCCTCAGCCAGCAAGTCTTAAAGTTGCCAAGGTTGAGGACCCCTGCATTACAGACTAAAAAACCTGAAATTGGTGTTGGTGCTAACTAAGAGGCAGAATTCCATGCCTCCAAACTCACCACGGCTGGCAGAGCGAGCGTGTTTCGGTTTCTTCATCCCCAAAGCTTCCTTGAGGTACTCAGGTGTGCTTCCAGGAAGAGGGGAGAAAGCAGTCCTGATGCCAATATCGGACTTGGAGTGACTCATCCAGGTACCTACGGAAGAGGGGAATGGGGTGGTCAGCTGCCACCTCAACGCTTGCTTGGGGTTTGCTACACATCCCCTGAACTGGAGGGAGGCAGAAAGGTAAGGGGGAAAACGAAAGCAAATGCTGTATCTCTTCGAGAAGCTGCTTCAAGGTCGTATCAGCTGCATACCATCCTGTGCTTGAACTGACCATTACAAAAACATCCTGCCTGAACTGACTGGCCCCGTAGGGGTGGGCAATGGGAAGGAACCAAGGGAGGGAAAAGTTGAACCTAGGTATTTTTGGCCCCCAGTCTTCAGTTCTGGCCATGCTTTATGTTTTGCTTCACAATACAATTGCAGACAAATGGTGGCAGGTCTGACAGAGATACCAAGAAAGATAGCAATAGCAACAGCACTTAGACTTATATACCGCTTCACAGTGCTTTACAGCCCCTTCTAAGCAGTTTACAGAGTCAGCCTCTTGCCCCCAACAATCCGGGTCCTCATTTTACCAACCTCGGAAGGATGGAAGGCTGAGTCAACCTTGAGCTGGTCAGGATCGAACTCCTGGCAGTGGGAATGCAGCGTCAGCCTGCAATACCGCCTTCTAACCACTGCACCACCACAGCTCTTAAGGGAAGACAATCCCATACAGCCAAATTCAGCTCCTGGCTACACATTAATGAGAGCTTTTAATCTGGATTTTAATCCCAATTCTGATGGTTTCCAGAATTCTCTAGTAAAGAAGGATCCAGTTTCACACCTGGCTTCAGAGATCCACGCCAATATTGCCTTGAGGCTTTCACTAAGGGGCTCTCAAAGTGTCTGCTCTCTGAGCTTTTCAAAGTCCGCAGAAATCCACTCCTTTTAGAATGGAGGCAGGTGTGAGAGGTATATGGAGACCCTGCAGGAAGGTAAAACAAAAAAGCCAAGATTAAAAGTTTTAAAAAACAAGCAAGATACTAACGTTATCGTTTTGTGACAAGAGGAGTGGGCTCTCTAGGCTCTCAAAAAAAGGAAAAAATAATTCACAATCGTGTGCATGTATACATAAAAAGGGCTGCATGACACGTGACCGAGGAGGCCTTTCTTAATCAGGCAGGAAAAAATGAGACGTGTTTTACAAGAGCTGGGTAAAAGTTTCAAGGTTTTGGAAGAACGCAGCAGGGCAGTGAGTTTTATCTCTTAATCCCTTTCCATAAAATGAGCTATTACCATGAAAACTGGCCGATTTTTAAGATTAGTTCGTCTCAAAGAAAGGACACCATGTCAGCCAAAGCGGGGATGTGACACTTACTTGATTTTGCAGGCCTGCGAGACATTTTCTTCTTCAGTGTCTGTAAAACGAAACAAAACCAAAAAGACTTTGTGTTGTGATTTGTTGCTGGGGAATTTTTCTTGGTGAATTCCCCGTTGGTGCTCCATTTTGTGAGCAGAACTCTCTTGCAATTACAGATTTATTGGAATCTGATGGCCACGAGAGCCCCCAGTGTTTTTAAGGCCACATCAATTCCAGTGTTTAAAAAGACAGAAGAAAAAAAATACTCAGAAGAGTTTAAAATCTGAAAGCAAACAGCTGTATGAATTGACTGCAAAACTTTCTTCGTATAGCTGGAGTGTCATAGATAGGCTCCAGTTTGTTTGCCAGTTTATTTTGGATTAACACAAAGCACAAATCACATTATTACAGTTTGATCAGCATCTGAATCCATCCAAGATCAATTTATAGAAAACGAGAGAATTGAAAGATATCTAGTCCAACTTACTGTTTCTGCATCAGAATCGTAGGTCAGGGCAGGAGAATTATCTTCAGCCTGTAAAGACATAGATATTATAAAATATGATGCTGCTGTAAGTATCTAAACCTTTTTGTTTATGAGATTAGCATTCAGTGATATGGAGCAGTGGGTCATCAGTATGATCAACTCTGACCGGAAGCTGCTTCTCTGAGGCTTTCTTACCCTCTTATCCCAGAACTTTTAGCCTGAGATGGCTGGAATATGACCAATCTAAATTACTCAGGAAACTCAGAAAAATAATAACTATCCATCCATTATCAGCCATCAAGAGGCCTGTGACAGAATGCAGGTTACTGTCTGGAACAAGCAGCTATAAAACATCTAATGTATGGGTTTCTTGATGCACTCCGAGCCTGGTGGTTTTCTTGCAGAAGTTTCATGACCCAACTAGGCAACATCATCCGTGCTAGAAAGGAGGGGGATTTGGTCCCTGTTTATATACTAACTAGGGACTTGCTCTGTCAGTGTTGGTGGGAGGGTTCTTTGGTCGGGCTGTTTACTTCCTGGATTGTTGGTCTAGTATTAATGTAGAGAGAGATAGATAGATAGATACATAGATAGATAGATAGATAGATAGATACATAGATAGATAAACAGAAAAGAATATTTGTAGCTCAATGTTAAACTGTGGGGGTTGTCCTTGGTACTCTCTGAGGTTGGTTGCTTTCTTGCAGACATTTCTTTACCCAACTAGATAATATCATCAATGCTAGAAAGGGGTGGATTTGCAGAGAGGAGGAGGAGGAGAACTGTGGGGTCCTTGATGACCTCTGAGCCTGGTTTTCTTGCAGACATTTCATTACCCAAATAGGTAACATCCTACTTGCTAGAAGGGAGAGGGATTTGCAGAGGAGTGTGGTGGTGGTGGAGAACTGTAGGATATTTAGTTCCTTTCTGAACTGGGTAATTTTCTTGCAGACGTTTCATTACCCAACTAGGGAACATCATCAGTTCTGCTAAGGAGTGGGGTTGGCTCTCTCTTTATAGAAAGCCCCTTGTATCTAAGCCGAGAGCCAACCTCTCTCCTGGCCTGCCCTCTCAGTGAGGGTAGGGGCCTCCTTGGGAGAGCCTTCCCCAAAGAGCAGCCCAGCTGAGCGCAGTGGAACATGGGACTCCTGATACGAAGCCTCAGGAGAAGCAAAGGAGGAAGAAGGCATCTCTGCACGGGATTTCCACCCCGCTTTCCCGAGTCCCAGAGGCCGGTGCAGCCCCGGAGTTCAGGACCCTGCCTGGGCAGCCCCGTAACGTGTGAACGGGCAGGGTTCCCGTTGACTCTCCCTGTTCCCCCGCTTTGGAGGAGGAGAAACCCTCCCCTATTAATGCTCCGGGTCGTCAGGCCAGCCCTTCCCGACGCTCTCCCGGTTCTCCACCCGCCCCCCCAATCCCCGGCGGCTGGCTGGGGATGATGGGAGCTGCAGTCCCCGGGAGGCGAGACGAGCGGCCGGGGCGCCTCGTCTCCCTCCGGCCCTCACCGACTCCCGCTCCGCGGCGGCCTCGCTGGGGCTCCGCGACATGCCGGCGAAGCGACGGAGGGTCTCAGGCACGGCAGCCCTTCCACAATCGCTCCGCGCAGGGCCCGCCTCCCAACTTCCGCCCAGGATCCATGGCAACCGCCCCGGCAACTGCGAAGGGAGGACCCGGATGGACGCGCGCGCGTGGCTACGCCTGCGCAGTAGCGCTTCTCGGTTGCTTGGGAAGGCCGCGGCTTCTTGGCCCGGTCTGAGCCTATTAGAAGCCCCGGACCGATCGCTCCCATGACTCGCGGCTGCCTCCGCTGTGGACGATGGGGATCGGAGCCAAATGTGTATCTAGGAGGAAAGCAAAGTCCTTGCGCCATCAGGGAGAAACTAGCCTCCCTTGCCCTTTTGCGCATGCCCGAGCCAGGAGAGCATGGATGCGCCCGCGCCTGCGCAGAGAAGACGAGACCCTATAGTTTGCAAGGCACGAGTTTGCAAGATCTGCTTTCTTGCAGCGATCGGTTTCCTTGCAAGCGGATCCTGCCCGTGATTGCACCCGCGGCCGCCGGGCCATTGCAGGAGGCTCTCTCCCCTGCCTCCCTTCGGAAGTCCTGGGGGAGTGGAGGGGCACCCCCATAGGAACCCCGTATTGGGACCGGGATCGACTCTTCCTGCCCCTTCCCAAGCAACGCTGCTTGCATCGGGGCCGGCCAATGCAATTCCCCGCGCGAGAGAGACGGGGTGGCATTCGGATAATCGTGGCAGACCCGTATCTCCGCTAAAAAAGGGGTGTGAACGTAGCTTGCAGGGGGAACTTTCAAATTGAACTCTAAATTTCTGCGGCTTTGGCTTGCTTTTGCAAGAACAACCCTCTCCCCTCCCCCCGAGGCTCCTTGCTCTTCCCCATGGATGCAAAATGTTCCCAGCTTTTGCCTTCCGTTTGCGCCGTTCTGGCCGACCCCGGGCATCCCGTGGCGGACGACACTTGTCTGGAGAAGCTGCTGGACTGGTTTAAGGCTCTGGCCAGCGCTGGTGAGTTGGCAGTTAGCTTTGTATTTGGGGAAAGTGGGGTGGGGGGCTCTGCGTGGAAACCCACCCTGGGATGCTAGCAGGAATGGTGACATTGCAGAGATTGGGACAGACATCGTGAGGACACCGCCTAGGTGTCCTCGCCTTGGCTTGCTTGAGATGATAAAGTTTGGATTTGTTCTGTTTTTGTGGCCACATAACTGGGTTATGTAGATGCAGGCTGGTTACCAAGCATGCAAAATGCAATCCCATCAAAGCAGTGTGTATGTCGGACTTGTGAAACTGGGTCGTAAGTAGTTCCGGGAAGGTCCGTGGTAACTTGGAGTGCCTGTATTTTTTTTTCTCCCCAGGGCCTAGTTTGCTGGTATTAAAAGAGAACCCGTGTCTGATCGAATTCATCCTTGCTGTGCTCAGACAAGGGGAACCAAATCCCGTTCTTCTGGCGTTTGTCCTGAGGCTCACTGGGATCCTTGCGGCTTCTGAAAGCAGCTTCCAGCGTTTGCAGGTTTGTCAAAGATGGCGGAAGCAATTCAGATGCAGACGTACTTACTGAGCAGGGGAGGGGGAATCATACAATTCTTTCCTTCTGCATTAAAAAAAAAGCCCTCTAGATTTAGTTTAATTGGGAAAAAAACACACAATTTGAATGTTTACAGCAGAGTCCAGATGGATGGGTCAGGATTTCTCAGCCCTTATTTTAATAGTTCCACGGCCGTGAAGCATCCTTCAGAGCAGCAACAGATTGATCCAGCAATGTAACCCTTCTTTTTTTCCTTCCTTCCTTCCTTCCTTCCTCTTTCTTTCTTTCTCTTTCTCTTTCTTCCTTCCTCTCATTTCCTTCCTTCCTTCCTTTATTCTTTCTTTCTTTCCCTTCCTCTCATTTCCTTCCTTCCTCTATTCATTCATTCTTTCTTTCTCTTGAGTCAGCAACAGGAGGTGGTGTTTGGAGCCTTTGGAGAAGCAGGTCCCCTGGGCAGCCCACTCTGGGAAAACATGACCATTCGGAGCGGCTGGGTGCAAGGAGCCTTCATCATGCTGCAACATTACAGTGCCTTCCAGTTCCTCTGCAACTCTGGCAAGTGCAGACTTTTCATCCCCTAAGGTCAGATTGCACAGCTGGACTCTCCTAGCCTGGATTCCATACAGGTAGTCCTCGACTTATGACTCTAAATTGAATCCAGAACTATGGTTGTAAGCCATTCTGGCCATTAAGCACATTCCTGCGCCCAATTTTACAGCCTTTATATTTTGCAGCAGTTAGTGGCTTTTAACAGTTGCTAGGCAACCAGTCATAAGTCAAGGACTACGTGTGCATCAATTCCTGGTCCTGTAAGTGACATGTTGGTGGCTGCCTACGAAAAAGACTCGGGGGGGGGAGGAGTTTTCGGTTAACTAAAAGGGATCATCCTTGGTTAGAAAGTTCCATCTCTGAAATGTTATCTTTTGTCCCATACAACAGTAGAATCAAAAGGTTTTTTTTAAAAAAAAAAATAAAAATCATATGCCATTTAACCGAAGTCCAAATAAATAAAATGTTGTTTCCAGTGCTAAATCAAAGCATCCTGCTTATATTCATCCCCAAAACGAAATAGCCGTTTTCTCCCGAAATTGTCAGCCTCTCCCTGGTTGTCAACAGGAGCTCTGGATGTGATCTTCACTCTTCAAGGAGACCCCAGCCTCTTCATCGCTGCGGGAGCCAACCGGCTTCTGGCCCGCCTGCTCATTTTCTCCGTAGAGTCCGAACCGTCTCGTCTTCTCAGTCCAAAGGACAGCGATTGGCCGGCCTGCGCTCGGATGATGGTCGCCCGTGTTGAGGAGGCTCTCAAGTCCCGCTCTCCGTCCCGGATCAAGCATTCCCTGAAGCTGTTAATGACGTTATTTGAACACAACCAGGATGCCTGGACCGAAATCTTGTGGTCACGCATAGCAGAAAGGGTTGAAGCTCTCCTCGTGGAAGAGCCAGTCCAAGCAGGACCCTTGTTGGCTGATTTATTTCTTAGCATGGCGAGGTAAGAGATGGTCCATATGTTATTATTTAAGAGCTCGGAATTGGTTAAGATGGCAGGCTACTGCTTGCATGGAGGCTTCTTGCCTTGTTCTTGTCCATCACGGATGATCTTGCATTGCTGGGTCTTGTGTTGCAATTATTGGCGCTCAGTACAAAAAAATGGGGGCTCTGGGGGTAGTCAAAGATTTGAGCCCTTCATTGCATTTGGGGGAGAAAGGGATGAAGTGGGTGCCTTAAGTCTCGCAGATGGTTAAAGAGACAGCTCTTCAACCGGTCGTTCTTCCTTCAATAGGTCTCCTGCATTTAGCTGTCACGAATGCAGCCTTTGGAAGCTGGTGGCCCTGGCCCTGAAGAATATCGGCCTGGCTCAAGTCGGCTCTTTGGCACATGGACTTTTGAAGCTTGAGGCATGGTAGGAACAGAGGCTCTAAAAAGGTGGCCGTGATCTAGTGCAGTTGGCAGCTTTTAAGAAATGTGGACTTCAAAGCCCAGAATCCCCAATACTTAATATTCGGTGATGAATGAGCTTCCTGGAGGGGTTTGCTAAGTATTTTGTTTGATTTGTTTAGCTGCAGATTCCAATTCCCCCTTTTCTTAAACCCTTTTTCATGCCTGATCAAAGTCTGGGATTGCGGTCCTACTGGGGGAAAATTGGGCTTGCCAGTCAAGTGTTAAATAAGGTGAGAGCCCAGTCAGTCCTGGCTTATTGCAAAAACGTGGCTTAGGGTGGTGTACGAACTCAAGTCATAAAACCCCTTTCCACTCTCCTTCCACTTTCCTCCATTGTGAAGTTTTTAACGTCCTTTCGATAGTTCTAAAGACGGTAGGATTTGCAGAAGGCAGCACATTAAACCAAAGTAACGTATAATTTGAAGCATGCGGCCTGCATGCGTGCATGCATGCTCGTGTGTGATTTTACGTTGAAGGGATTTTGATTTACGAAACAAACTTTTAACAGACGTCAAACCAACGGAAAGCTCTAACCTTGTGCGTGCAAAGCAACCTTTTTCTCTTCTTCAAGCCCACAGGCCATCCAAGCCCAGAGCCTGGCTGTTTTGCTCCGGCCTATGGATTACATCTTGCGAGCTACTTCTCCTCACTTAGGTTTCCCAAGTGAGTGGTACAACGTAATCACGTAAACACCCATATCCATTAGACAGGGTGGGTGGGTGGATGGGGAAAAAGAGGCCCTTGGATTATCTGGGGACTGAGGATAGCCACCGTGCTCTGTAGGAATTAGAGGTTTGGAAAGTCTCCTGTTTGCAGAGGTTTATCCAGCTGTGTCAGAGGTGCCTTTTGTCTGAAAATTGTCGTTTCATCCCATGCTTCAGGATTGCTGGACGAGGCCCTTGCAGATGCTTCCTCTGTGGAATCTCTCCTCTCTACCAGTCTCCTATGTCAGACGATGGCTCATCTTCAGGACGTCCAAGAGCTGGTAAGAAAAGAGCAGGCTTTCTTCACATGTCTTTGGAGATTCTTCATCATTCAGGTCATGGTAGTCCTAAAACTGCTTTTTCCAAAAGGCAACTGGACGTTTTGGGGTCCCCCCCTTGAAAACGTTTTGTTGCTCATCCGAGAAGCTTCTTCAGTTTCTTAACACGGCGAAAATAAGCGTCTGCCAAGTTCAGATTTTCCCAAGAGATTCCCTCGTCCTTTTCCAGCCAGGAAATTTCTAAGCGTGCTGGCTGGGGAATTCTGGAGGTTGAAGTCCCCAAATGTTGACTGTGGAATTCTGGGAATTGAAGTCCACAGAGCTTCAAGTTGCCGTGGTTGAGAAACTCTGCTCCACAGAATTACAACTCTGATTAACTTAGGACACGCTTTTGCTTCCCCCAGATGTGCTTGGCAGTGGAGTTTCCCCATAAGCCTTTGTTATGCTCCGTGGTGACCCTACTACAGCTTTGCGCTGGCCAGGCTGTGCCGTCCTCCTCCTGTGGAGCTACACTGGGCAACATCTTGATTGGCAGCTTCCGTGTTCAGAGGGCGGCCCTTAGCCTCCTGGGAGCGCTCTCCCGATGGGCTGGTAAGTAGGCTTGTGTCTGTGTTGGATATTTTGTCTATATTTTGTCTGTCCTGTTTAGTTAAATAAATAATGGAGCAGTTTGCAGAAGGTGTGTGGTTTTTTTTAAT